ATGAACATGTAATTATTCAAAACCGGTACCCAGAAAATATAATTAAAAGTTAAAACTTTTCGCCATATCCATACCCTGCTTTAATTAAGCAAAGCTTGCAATATGAATTCTAATAATTAATTCAGTAAACAATTAAATACTACTTTAAATACGATAATTTGCAAAATCTAACAATACATTGTACTACAGTCATTATTTAAATGTGTCATCAATAGATTATTATCGTTTTCAAATTGGGGCATCACATTAGCTAATTTAACGTGACATTAGAAGATTTAAATGCGAGATACGATAAAATACGTCACAATGCCTTTTCAATTGTATCATCAGAACGTGCCATGAAATATTCATAGTGTCGTTGACTATACATTTATGTTAAAATTATGATGAACAAACGTTTAAAAGCTTTAAACGAGTAAATTACGAGTATATGTCAAATTCCCAAAGGGGTCATAAAGCGAAAGTTAAACTCTTTCGTATATTGAGGGAGATTATAACTTACATTATCTTCCGGGTATTTACTCTGCTGAGATTTAAATAATTATACAGACCGCTATACGATTATTTAGGCCTATTCATAACGAGTTCTGGTTTAAAAAAATTGGGCTACGAATTCGTATATTGCGAACTACATTTTTTAACTTCATTCTCAAATAAAGCCGCATTTGTTAAATTCTCCTCGTCTACATAAATTTCAATTGAATTTGAAAACACATAGTGAATATAGTTTTTGTATTAATATTATTTGAGGTGGGAATGCGAAGATGAAGCGTAGAGTGTCGCCTGTGCCAATATTTATCCTAAGGGATAACTATAATGGTGCAAATAAAATAACAGTAAAGTTTCTGGGGATGCATTTCGCCCTCAATCTGACTTGGGGTAACATACCATAGAATTTTACACTATTTATACAACATTTCTAATGTATTTTTGTGACACATGGTCGTATTATTTATACGTGGCATATAACCGTCTTTCAACAACGTTTGTGCCCGCGGCCAAAATTCAATTCTAATAATCGTAGAACATTTTTCATCATTTTTGGATTCTTAACAAGTTTCGCATGTTGTCCAGCAGTGTGTTTAATGTCTATGCAGAGTTCCAGTGACAAAAGAGTCCAGCAATATATTAGCCCGATGTAGTCTTGCTTCATTTGTTTTCCTTTATTGTTCATTATTCGCTCTGTTTTTCATATCTTTACTAGACATTGAAGATTTCTGATCTATTTTTGCATATTTTAGGACCTATTGCTATATTAACACGATTAACTATTGCACAATGCAATAAGATACCATAATCTTTATATTATTATGTTATGTCAATTAGACTGTTGTCATTGACTGCAATTTAGCAATGATTTTGTATAATGTTTTTCGATAGGTTTGTGTGGATAGCAACTCCTAATACGTCTTAGTTATCACTAAAAAATTGCAAATTCCTATTTACATGGGTTTTGATCACACCAACTTTGAAAGCTTAACCATAACGTCGTATATGTTTTCTTTCATGTCTTCTACATATTAGTTATGGGAACTCTCACTCCTAACATGCTTAACAAGAATCTATTGGTTTTGGAATAAGCATGTATCACTTCCCTCATACGATTTTTCACAGCGTGTTTGACGTGGATGACTTTCTCATTATCTTTAGCATTGTAAGTTTATCAATGTTATTCTGTTTAGATGCTATGTCAGTCCCGTTTTGTTCCAATATCCGGTTGCTGTACTTTTTAGCTTTAGATTTGTGAGATTTTTAGATTGAAAGGTTCATCAACTGTTTGATGTCTATGTAGGTATGAGTCTATGAGGAGTGTCAATTATTGATTTCTGTATTTATAGTATAAATGTTAAAGTAGATTAATTGTGTTTTTATCGTACAATTTCCATTCTAGTACTATTTAACAAAAGAATTGTTCCATAGAGCATTCTGACTTTTGATATGTATGTGTTTTGATAACTTCATTTTCCTTAAATTTCCTGTTTCTGTCAATTAGTATTCTACCTTTAACTAAGAGTCATAATAGTAAGTCTTCGAAACCACTTTGATGATTATGATAACTTGCTCAGTTGTAAGTTGATTTTTCTGTACGTTTTAGTAACATTAACTACTTTTAGATCATAAAAATCTTAGGGTAACTGACGATATGGGATATGTAGATCTTTTGAGCTCAACCATTTCGTGAAAAGCTGTATTTTCCTATTGAGTTTCAACAAATAAATAACGCTGCATTATATTTTTTTCAAAAATACTGTACAAATATTCCTTCTATAAACTTAAAAGTAGTTGTGTGAATATTTTCAATTTTTTAATATTCCAAGAAGAAATGTAAAAGTGAATAACACGATAGTCGTATTTCCAAGAACGTTTTGCTTACGCTTAAACCCGATATGGATTATGAACGTAATGGATGCTATTGAATTATCAATTAATATTTGTTTCAAAATCGATATTTGATGAATATGCACCTTTCCCTAAACACGCACATTTACCTTAACATATGTATAGTAATAACAGCATAAATATGTTTTATCCAATAAAAGCCCCTCATTGTATGGACATTTTGCTCATGCAACAATAATTGAATAATAAATGGAATATTCCACGCAATTTTAAAATTAACTTTCGTTAAACTTTTAGTTTTTAAGGTTGGTTTAAAAAAATGGTTTAATTATTAATAGAAGAATTAGAAGACTGGATAAGTACTGGATAGTCCACTAAGATCCAATTGTGATAAGTACAAGTACGTTACATTACGTAAATTTGGCGCTCTGAATTACATTACGTAAATTGGAATGGTTGAACCGTGTCTGACTGAAGGATACCAACGACCTAACGAGAATAAGATTATTCTCGTTTGTTTCACTGTTTCCGATCGATTGATGTTTTAAGAGAAATTTAAGAAAATCAACTTTTTATGCATAAGTTAGAACTATAATAAAACTTGAAGAGTCATTGACTCGATGCGTAATAGCACCCCTTTTAGTACAATGTTAACACCAATACATTCATTACAGTCTTTTCAAGTTTTTGCCTTTCCAATTTCCCACCACTTTGATAATCTAGAAAATAAAAACTTTGTGTTTAATAATAATGATGGTTACATTAAATTCATCACATTCTTCTTTTAGATCCAGATAAAGTAGCCGACAATCCTTATGACATATGTGATTATTTCTGCATCTTATTCAGTAGTTTCAATGACTTTGGTGTCTATGACATTTATGGCTAAAACAAATTCCTACACTAGAAACTGTGTAAGATATGTTGCGCCATATTAGGTATGAGCTGAGTTTATTTACTATATGTTCTGCAAGTTTAATTTCTACTTCCTGATCAACTGTTAAGCGGTCTGCACACGGAGCTACTGAAAAGGAACTAAACTGGTTGGTAAACTTGGGTTACTAACCAGTTACTAACTCCTTAGTGACCGTAGTTTGTTCAGTTTAATCATGGATGTAGATCATGGATTCATGTTGGTGATAAAGCATTCTCGTTGACACGATATCTGATGAGACTAGTATCTGTGAGATTCGTCATTAAAGCAGCTTGCGTCCATCATAATTTTTTGAGAAGGCGAGAAGGACTTTCCTACATGTCAAGTGATACAATTGCTGCGGTAGATGACCAAGTCATAGTGCAGCCTCTACCATACACAACAACTCTCGTGCAGATGATCTTAGAGGCTATTTCGCCAACTATTTCCTTAATTCGCTGTCCTGGCAGTGAATATACGCTACATGAGGTTACCAGTGTAGTACCTACCTTTCACTTTATTACGTAGTTAGGTATGAATACACACTTTTGTATTCCTAAAATTAAAATAAAGAATATATTGGTCACTTTTACCATGTTGCCCACAACTTTAAAAGATAATTTCAGCAACGAAACTATCATAATATATCATATTATATTAGAAGGAGAAGAATGAATAAAAGAGGGTTCTCGGTCCACCAATATCTTAAGAGGCATTTTTACCATCGTTTGTTTGTTGCTGCGAAGGAAATTTCAAATGTTAAGTTTGTAGCATTCTACAGAATATCCAAGGAAAGTTATTTGGAACAGGCCAAGAAGTGCAACTCCTATCTTAGTTAAACTATGCATGCGTGTGTAACCCATGAGATCTACTTGTATCACATGATTCCATTAGCTCAATGATTAGCTAAAATAGTGTTAAAGTACCACGGTTTTTCTTTTAATTTGAATCAACGAATAAACCTGTTTTTGGAGAATATTGATATTCGGTTCAAATTGTAATTTTTGTATTGAACATTATACATTACTCTTTTTAATATTCTGTGTAGTAGAAAATCACGGTTTAATATGAAAATATTCAACAAGATTTATAAAAAATCATATTTTATACTATTTGATGATGATTCCCGTTAATAGTTATTATTTCTTCAGAATTATTTAGACAGTTTTAAGTATTAAGTTAAGCCACAAAGCACGGCGTGAGATGGCTACCGTTAAATCCCTCCCATTCAGATAAGAGCCGGTAGGCGTTTTGTGCGGACAAAGCTGTCATTTTTAGTTGTTCTGTGACCAAGTGTTATTTTTCGTCTCACTCGCGTTAAGTATATGTCTCACATTCCAATGAGTTGCCATCTATTCATTTTCTAAAATATTCTATTTAAATGTTTACATCTGTATTTCTTGCAATGCGATGTTTGTGCCATCTTCAAAGTGTATTTTCAGATTTTAAGTATCAAGTAAATTTTTGTTAACTAATTAATACATTAAACTATGTATTAATTAATTACCTAAATTATTTGCCAATAATTTAAAATCTTTCTAATTTTTAATATTAAACATTGAATAAATTTTAAGTTAACTATATGTGTATAATATGTCTTGATTCATACATATTAGTTAATCGAACTTTACCAAAATAAGATAAACAATTTCAGAAATCTATTTTTAATTTGTTTCTTCGTTTCAATTTATTTTGTCTTTGAAAACATAAACAAAGTTATTACCATGTTATTTTTCATTTGATTCAGGCTGAGGAAATCAAAGCTCAATCGGAAGTGAATCATGCTGGATTGGTCGAAGTCTATCCAGCTCCATGTGATGTCGTCGAAAATTCAGACATTATTTTTTGCTGCGTGAGCGATCCAGCTGCTGCTATGCACGTGAGTAACACAAAAAAAATACCTCAGTAAAAAACTACCTTTAAACCAAAATATTTAACTCCAATTTAAAAATGAAATTTTTTAATTCCAATTTCCAACAACCTAAAATCCCAAATTAACCAAAACCAAAATTAGAAATAAAAAAAATATGTTATTCTTGTTATTTTAGGTTGTTTATGGAAATTGTGGAATTTTACACAACCGAATCTCTTTAGAAGGTAAAGGTTATGTTGAAATGACAACAATAGACAGCGAAACATCAATGGATATTTGTAATATGATTACGGATATTGGTGGTCGCTACTTAGAGGCTCAACTCCAAGGTAGTAAATTAGAAGCGAGTGAAGGTAACCTCATCGTATTGGGGGCTGGGGATAAATCGCTTTTCGACGATTGTAATTCGTGTTTCAAAGCGATTTCGCACACGGCCTATTATTTAAGCGGCGTCGGATTTGCGACGAAAATGAATTTGGTGATTCAGGTGATTAAAAGCGTCGCTTTGGCCGGACTTGCGGAAGCTTTTGCTTTGGCGGATCGTTCCGGAGTAACACCAAAAGATGTACTGGAGGTTTTAACATTGACGAATATTTCGAATCCGTATTTACAAAGGAAAGCTAAAATGATCGTTGAAACTGATTTTCAAACGGTTGAACATCCGTTACAACATATGCAAAAAGATACAAAATTGGCACTTCAATTGGCTGATACATTAAAGCAGCCTTTACCAATGACTGCAATGGCTAATGAAATATATAAACATACGAGACGTTTCGGATGCGATTCTCATGATGCTTCCTCGGTTTATATGAGGACGAGGCACTAACGTAATTTTTTCTTTTATTTGGTATAAGCTGTTTTTTTTTCTTTTATTTATAAAGAAAAGATCAAAATTATTATTTGAAATTCATATCATTTTTCTTCATTTATTTGAATTTCATTAGCTTTTTTAAAATATGTAATTGTTTGATTTGTAGAATATTTGACTATTTGAGAGAATTAGGTGTAAGTTCATTTCTCTTTTTCTCTTGATTTTACTTTTTTTTGTGGATTACTATAGTTATTAGATGTTACGTATAATGATAGAAATAATATAATAATGTATAAATATATTTTTATTGTGGTCTTTGGTTGTGTTTTCGGTACAAATTCGAAAAGTATCAAATATTTCTTTTAATTTTATTACTTGAGAATGTGAAAAGATTTGGTCGTGTGCCTATAAAATTGTTAAGATCCAAAAATAACCAAAAAATTCTTTTCTTTTGTACCAAAAATAGTCGTCCTGGACCAGTTAAAAAGAGACTAGAATTTAACATAAATAAATTTAAAAAAATAATATCATTTTTGACTAAAGTGTTTGTTTTATAGAATGTATTAGTTTATCATTTTTTTGTAATAATCAAATTCTAAGGAACTCTTATTATTAATAGTTAATTCATACACCATCTAATGCAATTGTATGATTTATTTAAATGTATTTTTTTAATTTTTAAGTTTTCCATATTTGTCCGTACACACAATAATTGCAAATGTCGTAGGTTTCGTTTGTAATAAGATCGTGCAATCGCAGCCAAAATTACACGTTGTGTTTTAAAGATTTGTAAAAATGTATTTCAAAAACAGTGACAAGATCATCTTTATTATTATTATTATTAATGACATTGTTGAGATGGCAATAGTAAACATTTTCTTTTATTTGTTTGGAAATAAACAATATATAACATTCATAATTATTGGTTTATGAAAATTAACATGTTTTCACCTTTTTAACCAATTTAAAAAAAAATTGAAAGTCCTTAAAAAAGTCAATTTAAAACAGTTATGCAGATCATCTAATTTTTATTAACATAAATTTCCTTGGTTTTGCTTTATAATATATCTTGAAGATGTCACAGAATCAGATAAATTTATAATCAATAAAAACTTGAAAAAGGCAACTTTAAAAACGTTCATAGAAAATTAGTGGGTGATGCCTAATTGGTGCTGGGCATCATCAGGAACGCATCAGATAAAATCTCGATTTCAAACTTATATGTTACACTTCTTCAGATAAGTTGAGATAAAATTGAAAAGAAGTGTCCTTCTAAAGAGATTCCAATAAAAGTAATAATTTTCTATTTTTTACTTTACCTTGGTCCATAATCTTGATTCATTGCCAGAGTACCAAGTTATGTATCTTATATGTTCCACCTGTACAAAATGTAATAACGATTATTATCACAATAATAATTCAGAATATTAATATGGTGTTCCAAATCATATAACAATAGAGAAATGTTCAAGAAAGCGTGAAGACTACTACGAGACAAAGTAATGTGGCAAACTTTATTTACAGGCTGTTCAGAAAATATTTTTGAGTAAAATTTAGCCAATGCCAAAATCGCCATATTCTATACTTATTTCTGAACATACAACACAATAACAAGATATCTCTACAAACCTTACTGCTCATATCTGCATATCCTATCAGACTCGCTTTGAACATTGCATATTCGATTTATAAACCAAAGGCCGGTGCCTTTATGACGTTATTTATGACATCTTTCTTGATGATTAGCCAACTGGTCCAGAGATTAGGTTTCGTCATCATCGGAAATGGTATGATGAATTAAGTGAAAATTGAAAATAAACCTTCAAAAGTGATTCCAACCAAAGCAAGAATTTATAATCATTTTATGACATTAATTGCAATTGGATCGAGTGCTAATTTTCATCAGGAAGTCATCACATTATTTGTCGAAAATCTCAGAAAAAATTCTGCAAATGTGATCCTAACAAAATTAATTAGCAACAACTGACATTCCTAATGATGTCCTAACATATATACATCCCACAGACACCATACAATGTTAACCACACTTCTTTTTTTTTACATCGTCCTTATTGCCAAAACTCCAACCGAGCTCTAAAGGATACTCTCCCTATGGATCAATACTTCACAAAATACGGGACTCAATGTAAGCACATTAAAGACGGAGCAGTCGGAATGCGGTTTTAGCAATAGGCTACCACCTATTATCATGGTGAAACACCAGTTTCGAAAGTAGCACAATTTAAGTATCGCGGATGTGGAAGCCGACGTGGAGCATAAAGACGTGGTCTGGCAGAAATGGCGATCCTTAACTGGAGTGCTATGCAACCCGAATATGTGACTGCTCGCACAAACGGCGAGATATGGCAAAGAAAATTCATGCAAAAACTGTATAAGACCGAAATGAAAATGTTACGATGACTACGATGAAAAGGCTAGACAGAATCTGGAATGAATATGTTCGTGGTAGCTTCAAGATAACTGTGACTGAGAAACTTACGGAGAGTTGCCTGAGATGGATGGTACATTATACGCAGAGATGAGCATCATATTGTAAAAAAAGTGCTAAGCCTGTCGGAAAGCAAAAAAGCATGAAAATAATTGGTCTGCCCGAGAACCTAGGGTTGAATGTCATGGTGCAGGAATATTTGGAGAGCCGGTCCCCTATAAAGTGGGAATGAGCAAAGAATAGCAGTTTTCTTTCTTGTTTTATGGCGTTGTGAATTTGAGTTACTGTGAAAACGAAAACAGGTTGTAAACGTGATGTGGCAAATCTATAAAAAAGAAACGCATTGCAAAAAAAATTGACCACAGTTAATAATCATTCTTTACTAAGGAGCATGTAGAAGTTCAGGAGCACAAGTTGGTCTAAATGGTTTTAGGTTCTTTTCTACAATTTTTCTTACGGTATATTCATTGGCAACAACCATTTCTTACCACAAACAGACTGTCAGATGTTTTCCGAAATGGTTTAATAGTATCTTGCACAGTAGTTCGAGCTACACCAAGCTATAGTTCTCCTCTCAGTCATATAACCGGGAAATTTCTATAATTTCTAGTATTTCCAGAACTCCTGCTCATGAAATATCTAGTTAAGATTATGGGTTAGACGTGTTGGAAATAGTTTAGTACTCATTAACATATAATTTTTTGTTGGGCAAGTAAAGAAATATAAAATTTTAATAATAGTAATAATTACAAATCATACTCCTATGTAGTGAAGTAACTTCATTGTGCGTGGAAAACTGAACTGATCTAGTGGATAGGTTAATTGTCAAGTACTGTAAGTCCAAAAATTGATCTATTACTTTAAAGTCTTTACGGCTGTGTTAGTTGACAAAAATATGCGGTGTTTAGTTTATTTTCCTAATACTATAAAAATGTGTAAAATAAAGTTGAACATAACGATCCAAATATATTTTGTTAAATTTGTTGCGTATTTGTTATAGCCAAAAGTCAGCAAGTAGCAGAAATCTACGGTGTTAAAAAAAGTTGTCCTTGGTTATTTCTCCCCAGTTGTTTTTATATGGTTGGGTAAGAGGACTACTCGAATAAGTCCTCGGTTGTTCTCCTTTACGTTGTTTGATCCTTTGTTTAGTCATCGGCTATTATCGAAATCTTGAGCTATATCTTTCTGGTTTTTATTTAATGTATAAAGATGAAATCATCACAACTAAAATCCAAAATGGTTTTAAACAAATCCAAATTGAGAACTATCAGAATCAACTATAAATTGACATTCAATCATAATCAAGAATGATAGTGCTAAACGCTTTATATTAGGAAGCAATCGTGAAACGACTAATTTGTACTAATGGGACTGCTGCAGTACAAATTCTTTGGGCAGTAAGAAGTGCACCGTCGGAAGGAAAATGAGGATGACGCAAATGATGAATTGAAGACGAAAATCACGTTACAACAGTTAAAAGTACCTGAAACATTACAACATGATTTTAATAATATGATCCAAACGGTTCATCTGATCGGAAGAAATTAACGGCGCATTTATGATCAGCGACCTTGAACATAGTAGAAAGATTATCAAAATCAGTGTCGGACCATATTAGATTTTGAATAACAGTGTAATTGTTGTACAATCAGTTATTTAATCAATATTGTAACTGTTAATTAAAAGAAATGTTGTGAATGCGGCACTTCTGCCTATCATTACAACACCTCGGCCATTACGGCTAACCACGGTGTAGTTTAACGTGTTTGGGCTTAGAGAGATTTTATAGTGCTAACCATCAATTAATAGTTTAGAAATGTTGTAAAAATTGCAGCAGTCTTTTGTCATGGAAACTCTCAATTGCAGTGCCTTTGTCACAGGTGGCCTCGACTATCATTTAGTATATTATGACATAAAATATAATCGACATCATAATTACTTATTTAATCGATACCATAACGTTTAATTGTCGAAAAAGGAGACACCGTTACGAAACTTCTAGTGGTTTCTAGAGGAGGCCAAGGGTCAATTTGGGCTGGAATTTTTGTTTGAAGAGAGAATAACGTTTAATTAAAAGAAATCTTGTCAATATCACTGCGTCCTTGTATCACAAAACATCTCAGTTACAGTGCCTTGTGCTCGAGAGGTAGCCTCGACTATAATTTAGTAGTACACAATACAAATTCATAATTCTCTAACTCATTAGTAATCAGTTATTTAATCAATACCATAGCCATTAATTAATCGAAATGTTGTGGACCACTGCTGTTTTTTTATCATAGAAAGTCTCAATAACAGTGCGTTGGCGTCGACACAACAATTAATCAAACTCAAAAACATTACCCAAAAAAATGTTCTGAATACAACACCTCAGCTACCGCCCAAGGACACGAAATGAATAACTGATAATCTATAAATGTATATTATTTATTTCATTAAAATCATAATTGTGGCAAAGATGTTTATGTATATCTCGGTAACCCTTTACCTTTATTCGTTCAAATTGTTGCGTCTAGGTCACAAGTGACCTCGGCTGCGACTTAATGTCCTAGTAAAGTGTTGTAACGTTAACAATTATAAATTTAATCAAATAAGAGGTAACTAAAAGAAATACCTTGATTACCACGGTTGCCTTTCATCAGAAACAGTTTTAATTACCACGCCCGCGCCCCGGCTACAAATTGCGTTGAGTATAATTTAACTTCTCAGAACACAAAATGATTCAATTGTAATATAATCATTGTCATTAATCAATGTTATTACTATTAATTAAAAGAAATATTTTGAATACCACGGCGCCTTTTATCATAACATGTTGCCGCAGTTATAATTTGACACACTACAACACAAAATTAACAAATAATAGTTTTCAAATTTTTGTTGATATCATTTTTAGGTCATCACAACTCAGTGTGTTTAAAGTTCTCTTACAGTCATTAACCAGAGCCGACTCCGTCATTACGGCCTGCAGCGCCTGGAGGGCGGCTTGACTGTTTGAGAAAAATCGTACTGTCATGTTTTTCACTCCTCTCTCAAGAAGGATTTTATCCCTATTCATATGCCTGGAATACAGTACATTACGTCTCCAGGCTACGCTTGCTTAATCCGAAGTGTCGGGCAGTATACTTCTGCCACGACCCTTTCCGGCGTTTTGATCCGTCTGTGAACATGCAAATATCTGCCTGAACCAGAGAATTTTCGTTTTCGATCCAGGACTGCCGTTCAGACAGTACAATCTGGTATCAAATTCAATTTAGTTTGTCTACAAAGGTAGTACAATTCGTTACATAGACAAATACAAAAACACAGTACAATGTAAAGTTTCTAGTATTAACTAATATTATGTCTTTTGAAAGACGGCT